CCCCCTCTTTTATGTTTTATGTAAAGTTTAATGATTATCTTCAACGGCCAAGAGTTTTTAAAATGGGTGGCTTCTGGCTTCTGTTTTGTTACATTGAAAAATAGTTCTGGGAATGATCGGATATTATTATGAACTCCGCTTTGGAACAACAAAGGAGAAAGAAAAAAAAAAAGTATGTGATTTATATTGTTTCGTTCCTGCAAACCTGCTTCTTGTATCCCTAGCGACGTTGTACTATTATACCGGATATTGTGAGTGAGGTGCATTGTGGGAACGAATTCCAGTTGTAGTTCCGTTCAGCGAAATTTGGTGGTGTTTTGGTATAGCAGATGCACTATGGTGTCTTGACATCACACATTTTTTGTTTCAAGCATTTTCTGATTTGAAGTACTTAACCACAACTCGACGATGGATCCAAAGATTATAAAGAAGACCCAGGATTCCCTGGGCAAAATTATTAAGAAGCCACCCTTGACAGAAAAGTTATTGAGTAAACCACCGTTTCGTTTTCTTCATGATGTTGTCACATCTGTGAGTATTTAGTGTTAGACTGGGAGTGGTGTTTTGTTTGGTAGGAGAAGGAGTCCTCATCAATGTAAATATGATGTTCTTCCTGGGTCCTTGCAATGTTATTTTCAGAGGTGCTTGTTGTTTTAATCGGAGTATATTTTTAGGAATGAGAAGCTAATCATTTCATTAATAAATGAATCAAAATAAAGTTTAGTAGATTACTGTTTTGAATGGAAGGTCGAAGACTCGAAGTCAAGTCGAAGGATACGGTCAATAAGGATGTAGCATACACAAATATTAATGAAGCATTAAGTCTATAGATCTAGATCTAGAGTCTAGATCTAGTAGTGTCTTTAAAAAATAGTAGGCCTATGCGCAAGGTATTGACATGTCCAGAAGAAAAGAACAACACACAACGAGAGAACAGAAAAATGGTGATCTTGAGAATGTGAAGTAAATAGCCTAATTTAATAAGCCTTAATTGATAAGATGATGTTGCTTGGGCTCGAGCAATTGTGGCGAGGATTTTTTAATTTCTAAATTAATTCTGATTTGGTTTTGCTTTCAAGTGTAAAAGAGCTTTATGTGAATCAGTAAGAGCTCCATTCAGTGATAGCTACTGGTGACACAAGTTGGCAGCATCCAGGTATACTTTAATTTTTATGTCCGATGCATGAGTAGCCGATCGTTCAACATGTTTGTGTTTTTGGTTCACGCCCTTTTTCTCTTTATAGGTTTTAAAGACAACTGGCTTCATGGAAGGACTCTTCACAGAATCTGAGTTGAACTCTGAAAATGTCAAGGTATGGTGATTTCAGATACATCTCTCTATATATATGGAATGGATTCCTCAAAATCTAGGGTTGGTGATTGATATTTGAAATTTGAAATTAAAAACATTTCTGTAAAGTAATGCAAAAACCATCTTGTTGTAAAATGCTAGAGGTTGCAAGACTGTAAGGCGCAAATGGTGTACGTAGAAAGATTAGTCTGTGATTTATAATTACTGACAGCAACAGTTTTATACACAAGACAAGGTTAATTGATCATACAACTTCAATTGAGGGTGCAACTGCTAAGCTAAGTCCTATTTCTTTTACGCCCCACCCTACTGTCATCTCTGTCTCCCTATCTGTTGTTTCCTTCTTTGTCTTGGGTACATATAAAATGGTTGTCGTGTTTTGTAACTCGTTAACGTGAAACAAATGAAACCACCGAGATTATGTTTTTCAGTCTTTGCTGTTTTTGTCTGAGAAGACTCCGGGCTTGCATTGTTGTCTGTCTTGGTCTGCTGCAAGTTTTTTATGTTGCTGTACTTGACTAGTATGACTATCAGAGGCTGTATTCGTGGGTGGTTTGCGGGTGCTCTGGTGTGGTTTGCTCCTTCTTTCTAATCAAGCACCTATCGTCCGTATCTCCTCTCCTTCTATTTTTGTGTTTGTTACTCTCTTGTGATACTCTAATCTTCGGCATTTATATGACCTTACTGTGTTGTAAGTGCCGTAAAACACTCACTAAAACAAAGAAAAAGAGGCTGTATTCGTATAAACTTCCTTCAGGAAAATTAGACTTTATTGTCGAGCTTAAGTTTATATCAAAGTGGAAATGTTGCCTCACGTTCTTGTATTCGTAATTTTGACTGGTTTGATTTAAACAGATAAATAAATATTGTGATGATGATACTGTCCTGAATAAGACATTCTGTGTCAAACTTATTCCCCTCTGATGAATTCTTTTCATTGGCTCATTTTGTTTCATCGCTGTCTTTGTTTTTGGAATGTTTCCCTCAGGAGAAAGACTCAAAGATGGCTTTCTTGCAAAAGGCAATTGACATGGTTTGTAAGTATGCGCAATTTTTACTTTTGCTTGTTTTATGTTTTAAACGGTTTTTAATTTTGTTTTTGTTGAAGGTTTTTTTCAACCAAATTCCAACTGTCTGTTAAAATACTTGTTTTCTTTGGAGCTGCTGGTCTCGAAGAAATTCATAGTCACCATTGATAGTCTCTTTTTCCCAAGTCTTGAAAGGATTCTTGAATCTGTACACACAGTTGGGACTAATCTGTGGTATATATATGAAGTCAGCAGGTGTAAACAGGTAGTGGTTCACCCTGCATTTTTCGTTGTGTTTTCTTTTTCTTATCGCATCGAGTACACTGCTGCAACGCCTTTGGTATAAGTATATAAGTACTGAGTTTAACCGGTTTCTGTGTTTGCACAGTTCTGAAAGGGATTTTTATTTCTCAGAGTTGTTAGTTACAGCAAGTTCCTCTTTCTGTGTTGCCTATGATCTCTTTGTTCTAGGAGTCGTGCTTCTCAGCGTGAGTAAAGTCGTAGATGTAGCGTTTGTCTCTCTCTCTCTCTCTCAACAGCTGCGGTGACGGGCAAACCTCTGGCTGTGAAGACAGCCAAGATCGTGGCTGGGCATGAGCCGGAGAGAACCAACGAGTTGCTTCAGGGTCTGGCCGATGCTGTTAACAAAAATGTGAGTGAGGGGAGAGGCCATGTTGCCTACTTCAATGCCAGGAAATACTGGGAATTATAAGATTGATTTATGAGGAATGTATCTGGGGGTTTTTTTTGGTTTAAAAAAAAAATATTTATATGAATTTGCCAAACTTTTCGGAACCTTGGCAACATTTTGATGTCTGAGTTGTGAAGTTCCTTTGTGGACTGGCAAATATGTCTGCCTCTTCCACACAAAGCAGAGATATTTAATTAATTTTTTTTTAAAGTATGCATTATACTGTTGTTTTTTTTCTCTCTTTCAGATATCTTGATGCTTCTATGTTTATTTGAAATGGATTTTTGTTAAACCGTTGTTCTTTGCAGAGATGTAATTACAAGCTGGTTTTCTTTGCTCTGTCCTGGTCAGGTTGACAATGAGGAGTACGTCAAAAAAGTTTTGAAAGGAAGCGGTGGCGGAGGAGGTTCAGCGAAGGAGGAGAGGAAAGAGAAGGACAGAACGAAGAGTGCAGACAGACGGAAGGGGAGGGACAACGAGGTAGGAGCTGTGTGCTAAGCCTCTGGGTGTGGTACAAAGTGTTGCTTTTTGGGGTGGGTTTTGTTATTGAATTGGTTGTTTGAGGCAACAGAAATGTGGTTTCTTAGGAGACTGCTGAGAGTATCGTGGAAGGAAAAGAAATCAAATGAGGTAGTGCTTGATGAAGCCCACGTGGGACGCTCAATGTTAAAAACAATCAGGAAACGACAAATGTAG